GCTATGCTATCTCTCCAGCCCCCCCCCCCCCCCCGCCTTTACCTACTTTTAACACTCAGTTCTTGTCCAGCGTGATCATTCCCAGCTATTACTGTTATACTGGTTTCTTCTCTATCTTACCTACACTCAACCTCACACATACTTGTGGTTAGATCCAACCATTGACCAGTCCTCCTAACTCCTGTCTTCCCTGGCCCTGGATATGTTTTCTACTACACACACACACCCACACAACACTGTCACTGTCACTATCCTCCCGTTGTTCATTGATTAGCTCGAGCAGACCCAGTAACATTGTGAGACCTGTTAACACACACACACACACACATATATATACTATATATCACAAATGAATGCAGTCATTCTGTATTTGTCCCTCTCCTGACTCATTTCACTCAGCATGGTACTGTCCATGGTCCATGTCCATTCATTTGTAGGCAAATTTCATGACTTCATTTTTGCTAACAGCTACATAGTACTCCATTGTATAGATGTGCCATGATTTCTTTATCCATTCGTCTATTCTTGGACACTCAGGTTGTTTCCAGATTCTGGCTATGGTGAATAGTGCTGCAATGAACATTGGAGTGCAGGTGGTGTTTCTGCTGTGTGTTTTTGGCCCCCCTGGGTATATTCCCAGAAGTAGTATTGCTGGGTCAAATGGAAGCTCAGCTTCTAGTTTTTTCAGAAATGGCCCTGTTGTTTTTGAAAAAGCCTGGACCAGTTCGCATTTCTACCAATAATGGAGAGATCCCCCACATGCACACCAACACTGGTTGCTTTTGTTCTTTTGGGTGTGTGCCAGTTTCTGTGGTGTGAGATATTTCTCATTGTTTTGATCTGCATCTCCCTGATGATTAGTGATAAAGAGCATTTTTTCATGTGCCTTTTGACCATTCGAATTTCTTCTTTGAGAAAGTTTCTGTTCATTTCATTGCCCCATTTTCTTAAGGGATTGGATTTTTTGTGGGTGTGTCACACCCGGTGATGCTCGGGTTACTCCTGGCCATGCTTAGGGGACCTCTTGGGATGCTGGGGGTTGAACCTGGGATGGCCGTGTGCAAGGCAAACAAAAGCCTTACCTGTACTGTTGCTTCAGCCCAGGATTGGATGTTTTTTTCTTGTAGAGTTCAACCAGTGCCTTGTATATCTTTGATATTAAACCCCTTATCAGAAGGATATTGGGTGAATATCGTTTCCCATTCCATAGACTGTCTTTGTATCCTGGGCACCCGTTTCTTTTGAAGTGCAGAAGCTTCTTAATTTAAGATTGTACCCTTTGTTTATTTTTGCTTCCACTTGCTTGGTCAGTGGCGTTTCATCTTTGAAGATACCTTTAGCTTCAATATCGTAGAGGGTTTTGCTGACCTTTTCTTTAATGTACCTTATGGATTCTTGTCTGATGTTGAGGTCTTTAATCCATTTTGATCTGACTTCTGTGCATGGTGGTAGGTAGAGGTCTGAGCCCGTTTTTTTTTTCTTTCTTTTTTTTTTTTTACATGTAGCTTTCCAGCAATGAAAGTTTTATAGAACACTTCTCCCAAGTGGTAGAGCCAGGCTGGAAGTGCCACATTATATGTATTATTAGATGACTGTATTATTAGGTGACTGTTTTTCCCTCTTTGCTTTGGGGCCATACCTGGCTGTGGTCATTGTTCTGATTCTTTTTTAATGAGAAGTTGGGGGGGGGCAATGTTATTGCTGTGTCTCCTCCACCACCCTATATTTGGTTCCCTTAGGGTAAGTTTCTGGCTTTTTTCCTTTGAAAAAATCAAAAGGTGAGGGAGCCCAGGAGAGTCCAGGATAGAGGGCCAGCCTTGCAGCTGTGAGGTGTGCGTTCTATCTCTGGTACCACCTCATGTGCCCAAGTGCAGTCTGTGTATGTCTCTTGGTGCCACAATAAAGATTTCAGTCTGGTGCACCTCAGCCCGGGGTGTGCAATGACAGTAGCCAAAAGTGGTGAGCACCCCAACTCTGAGTGTGTCCTCCCAACAAGCAGGGAAGGGAAGCAGGAAGATGGGAGAAAAGTAAAAAGTGCAGCCATCCTTCTGTAGTTTGTTTTTGTTATGGAGCCACACCCAGCAGCTCAGGCGTCTGGCTATGTGCTCAGGGATCATTCCTGGTGGTGCCCAGGGGACCATAGTGGTGCTAGTGTTTGAACTCAATGGTATGTGTGCAAGGCAAACACCTCTCCACCTTATTATTCCTCCAGCCCTGGGCACCCTGTTCTCTGCAAAGTATGGGCAGCTGTTTTCAAAGAATTGGTATTCTTCTAAGATGAATGGGTTTCTTCCCACGTCCCACTCCTGGGATGATGCTGTGAAACTATGATAAGGGATTTACTCTTTATTTTTTTTGGTGAGGGGGTGGGGTGGGGTGGGGGGGTGTTTGGCCACAACCGGTGATGTTTAGAATTTACTCTTGCTGGCTCTGCACTCAGGAAATATTCCTGGTGGTAAAACCAAAGAGGGTTGGGTGAGGGGGAAGAAGAGGAGGGAGAGACGTTATTTTCTATTCTTTTTGGGGGTGGGATGGAGGGTGGGGAATATATGGTACCAGGGTTTGAATCTGAGCCTCCTGAACCCAAAATATATAACTATTGAGCTATCTCTTTGGTCCTGCTCTTTATTTTTTGACTTTGGGGCTTCAGCTGTGCTGTGTTTACTCTTGGCTCTGTGCTCAGGGATTGAACCCATGTCAGCCACTTGCAAGACAAGCACCTTATTCACTCTTATTTCTCCAACCCCTTTGTTATTTAGTTGTTATTTAGTCTTTGTTATTTGGTTGTTGTTATTACTTTGACTTTGGGGCCACACCCAGCTGTGCCTAGGGTTTGCACCTGCTTCTTTGCTCAACAGTCTCCTGGCAGGGGGACCAATCTGCTGGGGATTGAACCTGAGTCTGGCACATACCAAGTGAGTATCTTCCCTGCTGCCCTGTGTCTGCAGCCCCCTTGGTGAGTATTAAGGTCAGCATTCTCATTTCCTGCCCCGCCCTTCGTTATTATGATGATGTGGTGGTGGTACCAGGAATCACACCCTTGCCTGGCTGAGATGCTCATAGGAGTCACACCCTGGCTATGATGGCCAGAAATGACTGGCAGTGCCGGGGAGCAGGACTGCAGAGCTGTCAGGGACCTGCTAACACATGTGACCGCGGGCCTTTCTTTGGACCACATACCTTGCAGTGTTTGTGTGCTACTGCTGGCACAGTGCTCTCAGTGGTGCTCAGGATTGTGCAGTTCTGGGGATGCAACCCAGGCTCCTGCATACAAAGATTGTGCTCTAGCCCATTGAACCATCAAACTATTTCCTTGGCCGCAGCATGGGGTATTTGAGCCATGCTTCTCAGGCCGGTGCTCTGCGCCATTGTCTCATCTCTGTCTCTGCTTGTGTGTTGTTAACCCTGTCCACAATTCCCCCCCCCCGCAGTGAGATGCAGTTGTCTGTAGAAAGACTCAGGTCTGTTAGTCCCTGCTGGGCAGTGGGAGGGAAACAGACCCAAATGTGGGTATTGCGGGGGGGGGGGGTGTATCTGGGAAATCCTGTTAGTCTTCTCTCTACCCATGCTCCCTGTTACCCTTATTCTTTGGTCTTTTCAGTGAAGAAAATCCAAAATCAGCCAGTTTCCATTAAACATATCTTTACTAATTACTTGTCACTGCAATCATTTTTAGAGGTCTCTTCATGTTCTCCCTGCTGCTGGTAATTGTTGGGAATGGACTTTTTTCAAAAATAAGCAAATTCATCGGCCAGTGGAATTGGAGTTGACGTGGAACTGTTCTTAGCTCTTACCAAGTCTCTGAGAAGAATATATTGTGGCGGAAATATTAATGGGTTTGATTGCAGGGTGCTGCCTGTATGATCCTGATGGGCTTTCATGATATATGATGTCAACTCTCATTTCCTTATTTAAATCTGAAAGATTCCTGATTTAGAACCACTTCTGTTTCAAGTGATTTCAGAGAAGTTTTAGTGGACCAGAGATGCTTCTGTCAGACTTTTGAGTGAAGTCTGCCACCTTGTGGGAGCCCAGCCTCTAACCACTCCTTTTGTATATGGGCCGCACCTGGTGGTGCTCAGGGCTTACTCCTGGTTTTGTACTCAGGGACACACCTAGTGGAACTCTGGGACCCCTGTTGGATGCCAGGGATCAAACCTGGATCGGAGAGGTGAAAGGCCACTGCTTTACCTGCTGTACTCTCTCCGACCCCTTATATCTTTTTTTATTTTTAATTTTTTCTTTGCTTTTTGGGTCATACCCGGCAGTGCTCAGGGTTGTTCCTGGCTCTGCACTCATAAATTACTTCTGGTGGTGCTTGGGGGACCATGTGCGATGCTGGGGATTGGACCTGGTCAGCCGCGTGCAAGGCAAATGCCCTTCCCGCTATACTATCACTTCGGCCTCTGTCTCTTAAATTTTTATTTTTTAAGTTGATCTCACCAGGGGTTTCAGTTTCAGTGTTCACACATCTGACTGTGGTGTAGCTGGAAATCAATCCTGGATTCAGGGATTAGAGACTGAAGCTGCAAATTCAAATAGAGCTATCAGGAGTGACCCTGAATACAGCCAGGTGTGGCTCCACCCCACCCCGCCATTAAATAGCGGAGTCATCAGGACCAGGCTTAGCATATGTGGCAGTGGCAGTGGCATGGGGATTGAATCAGGACTATGTTTGAAAGTGCCCTAAACCCCTCAGCGATTCTCCAAACCCCAACCGGTTTTGAAGGGGCGCAGGAGATCCCATTCCACCTTATCCAGGAGAGGAGTGTGCTTCACCTTTCAGTCACATACCTGGATTGTTCTGTGCCGTTTGTTTTCTTTTTGGGCCACACATGGTAGTGCTCAGGGCTTACTTCTGGCTTTGCGCTCAGGAATCACAACGTATACAAGAGAAGTACCTTCCCCGCTGTGCCCTCAGTGGCCCTGGATGGTTTGGTTCCTTGCTGATCTGGCGGATTTTCCTCTGCTCTGTCGCTCATGGTGTGTTTCCCTTCCAGACTGCGAGCCTCCCGAGTGCTGCTGGTGGGGTTGAAAGGACTCGGGGCTGAAATTGCCAAGAACCTCATCCTGGCTGGAGTGAAAGGGCTGACCCTGCTGGACCCTGAGCAGGTGAGACGATCATCTTCCCATCCCACCCCTCCGCAGCCTTGGGGAATTGTTGTGGAGCTGGAGTCTCTGAAGGCAGCGCCCCGACATCCTGAAGGTCTGGAGCTCCACTTTCCTCTTGAGCTTGCTGAGAGAGGTGTTCTACAGCTCCCTAGGAGGAGGCTTGGGGGCCTGAGGAGGATGCTTCCGGGCATTTTGGGGTTTGTAGTGATGTGCAGCTTTTACTCACAGCGATTCTGAGGTGATGGACCAGAGCGATCCTACGGTGGGTAGGACACTTGGCTTGTACGTGGCTGACCACCCCATATGGTCCCCTGAGCTCTGCCAGGAGTGATCCCTGATTGTAGAGCCAGGAATCAGCCCTGAACACAGCTGGGTATGGCCCCAAAATTAACAAAACTGAGCCGAGGCTTAGGAAATGAATAAACACATTTAAGCAAATGGGCTCTTCTGATAGAAAAATAAGAGTTCCAGAGTGACAAAATGGTTCTTTGTCTCTATTCTCATGCTTCAATGAAATTGTAACTTTTACAGAAAAGTTATTTGTCTTTTCCCCTGGGTTTTGTTTTTGGATGGTATTTTTACTCTATTAAATATGTGTGTGTGTGTGTGTGTGTGTGTGTGTGTATTTTTCCCTTAAACTGTGATGTACAAAGTTCATAATACAGTTATTCTAAATGTTTTATACTCCAACACCAGTTTTTTTTTTTAACAACAGTTTTTAAAACTTTAAAAATTCACTTTGTTACATATTACAGGAGGAAGAAAAATTTGGAACTATATTATTAAATTTTACTACAACATGAAAATGAGGTTTGATCTACTTAATATTGTTGTACTTTTTATTTTCTTTGCTTTTTGGGTCACACCTGACTATGCACAGGGGTTACTCCTGGCTCTGCACTCAGCAGTGCTAGGGACCGTATGGGATGCTGGGAATCGAACCCGGGTTGGCCACGTGCAAGGCAAACGTCCTACCCGCTATGCTATCGCTCCAGCCCCCGTTGTACATTTTTTTAATTAAAAAATGTTATTGAGGGGCTTTTTAATTAAAAAATGTTATTGCACGCGGCCAACCCAGGTCCGATTTCCAGCATCCCATACGGTCCCCTGAGCACCGCCAGGGGTAACTCCTGAGTCCAGAGCCAGGAGTAACCCCTGTGCATTGCCAGGTGTGACCCAAAAAGCAAAAAAAAAAAAAAAAGTTATTGAGTCACCTATAGTTGTAAATTAATTTTTGAGCTATACCCAGTTGTTGCTCCTGTAGGTGCTTTGGGACGGGGACCAGGTGGTGCTAGGGATGGACTTTTGCTTGTAAAGCATGTGCACTGGCCCTTTGAGTTCTCTGCTTAACCCCATAAATTGATTCATTTTTATTGTTGTTTCGGTTTTGGGTCAGACCCAGCTGTGTTCAGGCCTTATTCCTAGCTCTGCACTCCTAGATCACTCCTGGCAGTGCTCAAGGGACCATATGGTATGTTGGGGATTGAACCCAGATTAACCTCGTTCAAGGCAAGCACCTTGCCTGCTGTATTATTGCACTGGCCCCTGTATTGTGTGCGTGTGTGCGTGTGTGTTTGCACTGTATCAGTAGTATTCAGGAATCACTCATGGTGATGCTGGAAATCGAACCTGGGTCCACCATATGCAAGGCAAGTCCCCTACTAGCTGTGCTGTTGCTCCAGCCCCTTGATTTTAAAACTTGTAAGCAAAGAGAATTCTTGGCCAGGGAGACAGCTTGGAGGGTTGAAGTGCATGTTTTGCCCCAATGTCACATAGTCCCCAGAACACCACGTTGGGTATGACGTGACCTAAATACTTTGAAATGAAAAAGACAAAAAGATATTTTGGCAAAGGAGCTGCCAGGTTATTAAGAATCTGAGTGCAATCAGCTTGGACATTTCACAGCCATAGTGCCCCCTCGAGGCAGGGGTACCCCATCCAGAAGAAGGTTCGTGGTGAAGGGAGTAAGAGCAGAGGGGTGGTTCCTAAACTGGGAGCCCCTTGGCAGGGAAAAAATGAACCCGCAGTGGGCAGGTGATTTCCTCACCATCTAGATTGGGAGATGATTGTGTTACTCTGAGGAGTGTGTGATGTGGTTCCAGTCACCACATCAGTACTGTGATAAAGGCCATCTCATGGAGTGAGCAGACTGATAATCATCCCTTCGTCTTTCTTGGTTTTTTTTGGGGGGGGGGGTCACACCTGGCAATGCTCTGGGTTTACTCCTGCCTCTGCACTCAGAGGTACTCTTGTCAGTGCTTGGAGGACCATATGGGATGCTGGAAATAGAACCTGGATCGGCCGTGTGCAAGGCAAATGCCCTATTTGCTGTACTATCACTCCAGCCTCCTTTCCTCTTTCTTAATTTCGTTCCCCTGTGAGGCTGAACTTGGCTCTTGGTTCTGAATTCACTTTAGAAAGCATAGAAATTTTTCAGGTGAATCTAGCAGGAAGCTTGAAAACCTTATCATCATGCTTCTCAGTTTAGTCACTAAAGTCAGCCTGACTCCCAGTGCAGACATTTAATAATTTCTAAGAACTCTGAGGGGGTGACTCTGAGGTGGCCCCCCCACCACCCCCAGGCACCCTGTAAAAACTTTCCCTGGATGACATTGTTGCATATTGCAAAGGTTTTGGAAGCTTTGGACTTACGCAGACTTGGTACAAATACCATCCTCTTCTTTCTTTATTAGCAGTGAAACAGATTTTATTTGGAGGATTTTTAAGGTGTGGAGGGGGAGAGAGAGTAACGTACTCCAGAGAGAACCCAGGCTTCTCCAAGGACGGAGAGAGAGCCCCTACACATATCCTAGCGTTAGGCACGAAAGCACGAAAATACCCATCTCAGGAGGGGAGATGCGGGTGACACATGTGCTCAGGCACCACATGTGCTCGGCCACGTGGGCGTAAGCACACATGGGCTTGGGCAGCATATATGCACCCAAATACCATCTTCTTAAACTGGACAATGAACTTTCCACTCAGAGACTCAGTTTTCTGATCTGTAAAATAAGGATGTTAGGGTCCGATGTATTAGCACAGCGGGAATGTCATTTGCATTGCATGCAGCTGGCCCAGATTCGATCCCTGGTATCCCATATGATCCCCCAAGAACTGCCAGGAATAATCTCTTTTTTCTTTTTTTCTTTTTGGGTCACACCCAGTGATGCTCAGGGGTTACTTCTGGCTCTGCATTCAGGAATTACTTCTGGCAGTGCGGGGGGAACCATATGGGATGCCAAGGATTTAACCCAGGTCGGCCACGTGCATGGCAAATGCCCTACCTGCTGTACTATCACTCTGGCCCCAGGAGTAATTTCTGAGCACTTGCAGAGCCAGGAGTAAGCCCTGTGCATCGTTGTGTGACCCAAAAAGCTAAAGATCAAAAACCAAAAATCAAGGGTGTTTGTGTCAGGTTCTTTTTTTTGTTTTGTTTTGTTTTTACTGTGAATGATATTGGAGGATTTTTAAGGTGTGGAGGGGGAGAAAGTGAGAGAGTAACTACTCAAGGGAGAACACAGGCTTCTCCAAGGGTGGAGAGAGAGCCCCTACACACATCCTAACGTTAGACACGAAAGCATGAAAGTACACATCTCGACGGGAGATGCGGGTGACACATGTGCTCGGGCACCACATGTGCTCCACCACGTGATCACAGGCAGCACGTGGGCTCAGGCAGCATACGCACCTGTGTCAGGTTCTTGCTATGTGTTTGGGGCTGGGAGTGGGCGTGGGCCATACCTGGCAATGCTTACTCCTGGCTTTGTGCTCAGGAATCACTCCAGGCTGTGCTTTTGGTCTTGGGCAACCATTTGCAGTGCTGGGAATTGAATCAGAGTTGGCTACCACAGAGGAGGAAGTGCCTTAACACTCGTATGGTATCTCTGGCTCCAGCTCATTTTATTTCGCTTCCTTTGGCTCCTGTCTGCTCCCCTGAAGTATGCTGTTTTCTTATGTTTCACCCCAGAAATGAGAGCAGCTGTCTACCTGAGCCAGGTTGTAGTAGGGAGAAATGACTTGGAGTTTTGAACCAAGCTGAATCTTGCTAAGTAGAGGTTTTTCTAGTTACGGGGCTGTGTTCCAGTCAGGGAACATTATAGCAGTGGTCCAGAACAGCAACGTAAAAATGGGGGCTGGAGATAGTACGGCCGGTAGAGTGCTTGTCTTGCATGTGGCTGACCTGGTTTCGATTCCCGGCATTCGATAGGTCCCCTGAGCCCACCGGGAGGGCTCCCTGAGCACAGAGACAAGAAGAAGCCCTGAGTATTGCTGGGTATGGTACAAAAACCAAAACAAAACCCAAAAACCACTCTCATAGTGACTGTTTTACTTAATTTTTAGTTTCTGGGGGCCACACCTGGCAGTGCTCAGACTTGTTCTTGGCTCTTTGCTCAGGAATTGTTTGTGGTGGGACTTGGGGGATGCTGGGGATTGAGCCTGGGTTGGCCATCTGTGAGGCATGCACCCTACCTGCTGTACTCTCTCTCCAGCCCCCAATTTGCTGTTTTTAGATAGTGAAGCCCACAAGAGTTGGGGTGGCAATCTTAAGGTCAAGGCGCGGGTCGTGAATGGACTTGCTAGAAAGCCCCGCTATAAGCCTGTACTTCATCCTATAGGTGCTGAAGATTCAGAGTTGTGTCAGTGGGGGAGGGGAGCTTGGTTAATTTGGGGTTATCCGTAAATCACTGGGTGGCAGAAGATGCCCGCAGAAGGGCTCGAGACATAGTATAGGGATTCAGGTGCTTTCCTTTTATGCTGCCGACCTGGTTCCATCCCTGGCATCATGTATAGTTTCCCGAGCAACACAGAGTGTCATTGACATCCCCAGCCCTGTCCGCAGCCCTATGCCCCCTGAAAATAAATATACCACAGGAAAGTAACCACTTGGAAGGTATTAATAGTTTCAAGGCATGATAGAAAGTACTGAGTTGGGGGGAGGGAAAAAAAGAAAAAAGAAAGTACTGAGTAATGTAATGAATTGTACTGGTGAACATAAATTTGGGAGTGAGGAAACATAAATGCTAACATTGGTGGATTGTATGTGTGGTAGAAGGGAAGAACGTAACTGCAGTAGCTAGTGGTGGCTCAACAGACTTGCCTGGACTCTCAGGTTTATTTCTGGGCCTGAGACAGTATAAGCGGTTAAGGCGCATACATTGCATGTGGCAGTGCCAGGTTCCTTCCCTGGTACCTCACATGCTTCTCTGAGCCCCTTCAGGTGGGCTCACTGAACACAGCATGAGTAAGCTCTGAGCACCACTGGATGTGGCCCCAAAGCCTAAACAAGTTGGGGCTGGAGAGATACTACAGCAGGGAGGATGTTTGCCTTGCATGCAAACTGGGTTCAATCAAACGGGCTGGAGCGATAGCACAGCAGGTAGGGCCTTGCACATGGCCGACCCGGGTTCGATTCCCAGCATCCCATATGGTTCCCCGAGCACTGCCAGGAGTCATTCCTGAGCACATGAGCCAAAAGTAACCCCTGTTCATCGCCGGGTGTGACACAAAAAGCAAAAAAACAAAAAACAAAACCTCAACAACCCAAAACCTAAATAAGAAAAATTAGGGGGCTGGAGCTAATTTAATACTTAATATCCACTATCCACTATTAATTTAATAGTGGGTAGGGTATTGTGGCTGACCTGGGTTCAACCTGTAATACCTCGTATGATTCTTCAAATCTACCAAGATTGTTTCCTGAGTGCAGAGCCTGGAATAAGCCTTGAGCACTGCTGAGTGTGCCCCCCAAAAAAAAAAAAAAACAAAAAAAGAGATGAACTTGTAAGGATCTCCTTTTGTGCTCACAACTCAGAGGTATAGGGATTATGCTTCCTATTTTTTCTTTGTGTGCTTGTATTTTTTTTTTTATGTAGGTGTACTGCTATTTATTCAGCCATTGATTAGCTAATTGAATTGGGCATGAACTCCACCTTACTTTTTTTTTCATTTTTTATAATTTTATTTATTGAATCACTGTGAGAGCAGTTACAAAGCTTTCAGGTTTAAGTCTCGGTCATACAATGAAACACACGTACCTTCACCAGTGTCCATTCTCCACCCCCAAAACCCCCAGTATACCCCCATCTCACACCCTCCCCCTACCTTTGGGCAGATGATGTCCACATTACTCTCTCTCTACTTTGATCACATTCAATATTTTGACTCCAGAGCCACCATTATTATTTGGGATTTTACCCCAACACTTAGATATGCTGAAAAGTCAGCCGTAAACAATTTGTTTTCTATTGCTGGTTATGAATAACATATGATGTCACATGGCTGCAGTAGTGGCCGTGTGATTTTGAAATTTCAAAATTTTAACACTTAAATCTGGAGGGACTTCTGCCAAAACCTGCTGGGTTCCGTATTTGTTCCTGAGTCTCTGGGATCATGGCTGTTAAACAGCTTGATCAGGAGCCAGAAAGGCTGTTCATGGGCGGCGACTCAGGGTCTCATTGGGACAGGAAAAGGCTGGCTCCACCCCCATCCCATGTGGCCCCGTGTGTCTCGTCACTGAGGGCCCAAACCTGTCTGTCCAGTGGCCTCTGGAGGATGGCGGCCACCGAGCTGCCAAGGGGGAATAGGTGGAGGGACAACACCCTTTCCCCCCCTGGGGTGGCCCCCGGGACACATCTGGCAGCGCTCAGAGCTTATTCCTTTCCCTGTACTCAGGAATCACAGGAATCACTTGGCGGTTCTTGGAGACCATATGGGGTACCAGAGGTTGAAAAAGGCAAGCCCCTCTTGCTATACTATTGTTCCAGCCCCAATCCTTTCTATTTTGTGCATACGGAAAATTGAGAAATGAGGCGCTGGCCTGCCTGAACTCACAGCAGTTGGTGGGATCACCAGGAATCTGACTCCAGGTGGCTGCTGCCAAAGGAAACCCGAAGATTTGAACACGAAGTGTTCTTTTATTCCATTGCCTTGGTGGCTAGTGACAGCTTTGTCACTAATCAGTAGATGTTGTCTCCTGGTAAGCGCACCATCTCATACAGGAGTCAAATATGAATGGGAAACCCCAAAGAAGTTAACTACTCTTCATAATTTAATATAAGACTTGGTACAGGCCTAGAGAGAAAACTCAGTGTGCTGAGTGCATATGTATGAGATTTCTGGATTTCATCCCTGTCACCACATGGTCCCCTGGGCTCTACCAGGAGTTCTCCCTGAGCACTAAGCTGGAGCAACCTCACAGTGCCAGGTGTGAACCTGGATCCCTGAGAAGCAAAAACAACCTAAGGCTTTGATGAAACTCTCTCTCTCTCTCTCTCTCTCTCTCTCTCTCTCTCTCTCTCAAGCAGCTTGGGAGAGAAACATCAGATTTTGGTTCAAGCATTAAGTTTGTTTAGGAGCTATGAAAAATGGAAAAAGTAAGTGATCCTGAGATAGAATTTTGGGGAAAATACCTTAGATGCTCCATAGAGCTGGGCTGGATAGACGCAGTAGCACTTTAGCACTGTCCTCCCATTGTTCGCTGATTTGCTGGAGTGGGCATAAGTAACATCTCCATTGTGAGACTTGTTACTGTTTTTGGCATACTGAATACACCAAGGGGAGCTTGCAGGCTCTACTGTGTGGGCATGATACTCTGGGTAGCTTGCTGTGCTCTCTGAGAGGGATGGAGAAATCGAATCCGGGCCGGCCGTGTGCAAGGCAAACGCCCTACCCGCTGTGCTCCAGACCGGATAGACACAGTACAAGGGTTAAATGGCTTGTTTGCAGCCAAATCTGGTTTAGTCCTTGATACCAAGTGTGATCCCCCGAGTACCTCCACGAGTGACCTCTGGCCAGATCCAGGAGTAAATCCTGAACACCTTTTAATATGGCCCCAAAACAAAGCCAGGAGCTCGTAGCCAGGGTACTACAACAGGGTAAGGTGCTGGCATTGCACTTGGTTGATCAAGGCCCCATCCCAGGTACCCCATTTGTGGTTCCCAGAGCCAGCCAGGAATGATTCCTAAATGCAGAGTCAGGAGTGGACCCAGAACAAAGCAAAAAGAGTAATATTGGAGTGATTAGTAAATTCTGTTTTGCTTTGTTTTGCCATACCGTAATGTGATCCTAACCCAGTGGTGCTGAGGGACCATAAGCAGTGCCAGACCATAACCAAACTGGATCAGCCAGGTGGAAAACTAGCAGGGCCCTGTGCTATCTCTTTGCTCAGCTGTTGGAAACCAAGTGGGAAAAGAAGCCAGCAAGCATGGACTTTTCTGTTTGGAGTGAATTAGCTTTCTAAACACAAGGGGGTGCTCTTTAGCCATCTGAGCCCAGAAAAAAAAGACGGTTCAGTATTCCTGTTCTGGTGCCTTGGAAGTAAAGAATCTAGGAGGTCTGCATCAGGCCAATGTCTGCGGGAACAGTAAATATAATTAGATGGTAGACATTTCAGTTATATGAAATGAAAATTTTGTGGGTTTTGATATGTGCTCCCCGTTTCTTCCCCTCCCATTTCCCCGTTCAAATAATAAAGATAAAAATGATTCCTAGGTATCTCCAGAAGACCCTGGAGCTCAGTTCCTGATCCGGACTGGGTCTGTTGGCCGGAACAGAGCAGAAGCCTCTTTGGAGCGAGCTCAGAATCTTAACCCCATGGTGGATGTGAAGGCGGACACCGAGAACATAGAAAAGAAACCTGAGTCATTCTTCACTCAGTTTGATGCCGTAAGTTTGTAAAATCTACTGTGGGAACTCAGTTAATTAAAGCTCTTAGTTATGTGTCCACTAATTCCACTAGAGCATTATACTTTGAGGTCCCAAGTTTTCAGCAGAGCAGAATGGGCTGTTCTGCTGTTAGGCTCAGCATGTCGCCCCAATGGGCTGTTCTGTTTGTTAGGCTCAGCATGTCGCCCCAGTGGGCTGCCTCGTACGTTGCCTTAGTAGGGTGAACACATGGACAGGCAGACCCCGTCTGTTTGATCTGCTGATTCTGTTTGTCACTTGCTGTCTGGTGGTTTTTTGGGGCATATGTTCCCCTAGGTCAGGTTTCATCATCGATGTTTTTTCTTCTAGAATCTTTCTTTGCACATAGCCTTGATACATTTTTATTATACTTTTATTCCAAATGTTTTCTTCCCCAAACTTAACAAGTTGGTGACTGGCTTCTGTAGCAGAGACATTTTTGGTTCCAAATACCAAACTACAGCTTGTGTTTTGTCTTAAGAAAGAGCCCACCTGATCTCAGTCTGTCTGTCTCTTTTATATAGCCACTTTGACCAGGTTGCCATGGATAACTAGACAGAATCATGGTAGTTCTAGCCTGAATGAGGCAGAGACAGCCTCATTTGTTTCCTTGCCAGGTCTCTGCAAAGGTGGGAGGGTAAGTTTCGTTGTCTGTGACCTTTTAGACCTGGCTCCCTATAACCTGGGGAAAGCTTGACCCATGCTGGCCATCTGTGAAATAGTCACAGTTGATGGGCTTGGTTTTTTAATTTTACTTTTTTTTTTTTGTTTGTTTTTTTGGGCCATACCCGGTGATGCTCAAGGCTTATTCCTGGCAGTGCTTGGGGGACCATATGGAATGTCAGGGATCAAACCTGGGTAACCCAGGTCGGCCACAAGCAGGGCATGTGCCTTAACTTGCTGTGCTGTCTCTCCAGTTGATCTACATGGTTTTTACATATGAAGGGAGAAGTTTGAATTTGGGTTAGGAAGTTTGCTATTCACATTGTTATGTCTTATGTGCATCTGTTCAAATTTGGGCTTGGAATGATGGATCATCTGTGCATTTTTTCCCCCTTTAATTCATTCTGTTTTGTAACTCCAGGTACTCACATTCTCCATTTGAACATGCCTTTCCTTTTTTTTTTTTTTTAAATAGTAACCACATTTGGTTTATTTTGGGTGTTCAATTAGAAAGGTTCGTTAGAACTGAAGTGTGGGGGCCAGTTGCTTATATAATTAATTCTAGCCTCTATATGGGCGAATAACTGTCTTATGGACCATATTTGACTGGTCCGTGTAGGTTTTGTACTTATTTTAATTTTATAGGCTTCAATGGTTGTTTTTAATTTATTCTTGTTTTTGGCTTTTTGAGTCACACCTGGCAATGCTCAGGGGTTACTCCTGGCTCTGCACTCATGAATTACTACGGGCATTGCTCGAGGGACCCTACGGGATGGAACCCTGGTCGTCCTTTGGGATGGAGCTCTGGTTGGCCTTGTGCAAGGCAAATGTCCTCCCCACAGTACTATTGCTCCAGTCCCCTGGTGGTTGTATTTTTGTTTTTGTTTTTGGGCCAACACCTGGGGGAGCTCAAGGGCTACTCCTGACTTTGCATTCAGGAATTACTCCTGGTGGGCTTGGGGAACCCTATAGGATGCTGGGGACCAAACCCTGATTGGCCATGTGGAAGGCAAGAGTTCTACCAGCTATACTATGTACATACATAGTAGTATCTATGACTATGTACTGCACTATTTGTATACTATCTACTATGTACCCTGGCCCCCTGTAGGCATTTGACTTTCTAACCTTTTATGTTTGTGCTCATGTTTTCCCATGCAACTTTTGAATGGCAGTAGATACATCCATTCTTCAGTAACCATTCTGCCAGGCAAAAGCAGAGATCTGCCCAGTGGGAATGCCCCTTTTTTTAATTAATTTTTTTTTAAAAATTGCTTTTTGGATAACAACTGGCAATGCTTAGGAATTATTCCTGGCTCTGCACTCAGGAATTACTCCTGGCAGTGCTCAGGGACCATATGGGATACCGGGAATCCAACCTGGGTTGGCGGTGTGCAAGGCAAACACGATACCCACTGTACTATTACTCCAGCCCCAGTGGGAATGTACTTTTGTGGTGATTTCTGCTATTTTTCTCCCTCTCACTCGCTTTTTCCTCTGTTGTGGTGCCACCTGGTAAGGTGGGGCAGTGCCTGGGATGGAAACCAGGGCCTCATGTAGATATAGGTGCTCTGCCGCTAAGCCTCCTCACTGGGCCCTCCCCTACGGCTTCCTGTGTTGAGAAGGAAGCAAGTTCACTCCTAAGTGATAAGAAAGCTTTTCTTGAAAACGTTGTATGCAGCAAAATGTAGCTATTTTTCATATCTCTCCTTACTGGATCATAACCTGAACACCTTAGCAGCACTGAGAAAGAATTCTACAGAGGGGGTTGGAGCGATAGCACAGCAGGTAGAGGGCGTTTGCTTTGCATGCGGCCGACCCTGGTTCGATTCCTAGCATTCCATATGGTCCCCCGAGCACCACCAGGAATAATTCCTGAGTGTATGTGCCAGGGGTCATCTCTGTTCATCTCCGGGTGTGACCCAGAAAAGAAGTAAAAAAATAAAAAAGAAAGAATTTCACAGAGGGTAACTTTGTTAATTGTTTTAAGTCTGAATGGAAGGTCACTTGGTTTATAACCTTTTTTGTCTTTAAATTCATATAGAGTTTTCACTTAAACAAAACAAAAAATCTCTACAGGACTTACATATCTCTTAACATACTATTCAAAATAGATGGGGGAAGAAGAAAAAAATAGATGGGCGGAAATGCCCTCTTGGTTAATGGGTCACTTGAAAAAATTGGGTTTGTTTTCCAACATGGCTCTTTCAGATTTTATTAGGTTTAATACTTTAGAAAACATGTAAATGCTAGATCATTACTGTCATTTGCTTTTCAGGAACAGTGTAGAATGTGGCTTTTATATGGTATTGGATTAAGGGAAGCATTCATTGAATGACCTGTTTTTCAGCGGAACATATTTTGTTCAAGATGAAGAATGTAAGGATCTTGTAATTTACATTTTCGATTTGCTGAAACCTGCAATTTTTTTCCGTCTTTCCTTCTTCTGACATAGGCTCCCAAGAACCTGTTGGACCAGTTTGAAATGGGCATTAGACATGCTCAGAGAGACTATTCATTAAGATTTATTTATTTAGACAGCAGGGCAGTGATTCATAGTAAGCCAAGTTCACACCAACCCTTTTCTTTCTGCAGGTATGTCTAACTTGCTGCTCCAGGGATGTCATAGTTAAAGTTGACCAGATCTGCCATAAAAACAGCATCAAGTTCTTCACAGGAGATGTTTTTGGCTACCATGGATACACATTTGCCAATCTTGGAGAGCATGAATTTGTAGAGTAAGTGTTGGGAGAGGTGGGAGAACAGAGCATTTTCAAAATATACTTTTGTTTCCTCCTTTTGTTTTTGCAGCTTTGGGGATCAAACTCAGGACCTTATATATGGTGAGGTATGTGCTATTGCACTGAGATGCGTCTCTGGCACGAAATGTAATTTGTTCTCTCCTAGGAAATGAATTGTTTAAGGAGAGTATATTGCTTTAGTACTTAGAAGAGTTGGCAATGGGGCTGGAGAGATAATCTAGTGGGTAAGGTGCTTGCCTTGCAAACAGTTGACCCAGGTTTGATTCTTGGCATCCCATATGGTCCCCTGAGCACTGCCAGGAGTGATTCCTGAGTACAGAGCCAGGATTAGCTGCTGAGGATCTCTGGGTGTGGCCCCAAAACAAAAAACCAGAACAGTTGGGAACTGATTGTCATTTCCACTGATATATAAGTTATGTTTGTTCATTTTATTTTTTATTTTTATTGTTTAAAAAGGGTATGTGTGTGTGTGTGTGTCTGTGTCTGTGTCTGTGTCTGTCTGTCTGTCTGTCTGTTCATATTAGAGACAGTTGGCATTTGCTTTCCAATGTAATGGCCTATGGGCTGGAGCGATAGCACAGTGGGTAGGGCATTTGTCTTGCACACGGCTCACCCGTGTCCAATTCCCAGCATCCCATATGTTCCCCTGAGCACCGCTGGGAGTGATTCCTGAGTACAGAGCCAGGAGTAACCCCTGTGCATTGCCAGGTGTGACCCAAAGAGAAAGAAAAAAAAGTGATGACCCAGTCTATAGTGTAAAGGGAGCTGAGTCCCAGACCAGTCAGCACGTCCTGTGGATACTCAGTGCCAACTTTGCCCACTTCAGGAGTGAAACCACCCATTCAGGCAGAGCTTGCTTTGGATTGTTGGGGTTTTGAAGAGGTGGGTTTTTTTTTGGTTGTTGTTGTTGTTGTTGTTGTTGTTCAAGGATAGTGTGACTTGGACCCAGGGCCTCACACAGGTGATTCATACATATGCCTGCTGAGTGCCACTCAGGCCCTTACCTTGGATTGTATACATTTGTTCTTGACCTTGGGCCTGTGTTTTTAGGTTGAAGGATGAAAGCTGTACAAAAAATTGAGCCAGGGGTATGGAGCCGTAGCACAGTGGGGAGGGCTTTTGTCTTGAACACAACCAATCTGAGTTTGATCCTCAGCATACCATATGGTCCTCCAAGCACTGCCAGGAGTGATTCTTGAGCACAGGGCCAGGAGTGATCCCTGAATTGCTGGGTGTAGCCCAAAAACTAAAAAAAGAAAAAGAAATGGAGTTAGGGGCCTGGATAAGCTGTTGAGCACTTGTTTCCAGTGTGTTCTACTGTGGGTGCCATCCCAGCACCACAAGGCAGAAGAAGGCTAGCTAGGGAATTCCAGAGTCACACTGAGGGCATGTCACCACGGCAAGGTCCGATGGTTACTGTGATGGAACTGACTGATGTTCTTCCCAGTTTGAAGGTGTAGGTTATAAACCATGGAGATGGGCCTGCAGTGTTGGGAGCTTCTTGATGGAAGATGGCAGAAGATAACCAGTATTGCCAAATTACTGAGTTGCCTTCTTGCCAATAATGTCTGACTAGTCTGACTACCCCCCCCCCCCCCCCCATTGAAAGAGTCAGTGTGGTTGGTAGGGATTGCTACAAAGAGTTGAAAACTGTTTGTTTGTTCTGTTTTGGGGTTTGGGGTTGGGGCTTACCTCTTGCTCTGAGCTCAGGGATCATTCCTGGTAGGGTTCAGGGAACCATATGGGGTACCAGGGATCGAATCTGGGTTTGCAAGGCAAGTGCCTTCCCTGCTGTACTGTCACTGTGGCTTAAAGGAGCTGTTTTTTTTATTTGCCTCCTTAGACAATCCACTTAAATTTTCAGGGTTGCAAGTTTCTTGTCTGTAAAATCGAAATGAAGGTAAGGACCAAAATCTCGTGTATGTCAGGAAATGAACCTCAAGCAAATGGAGAAGAAGTCAGAGAGGGGAAAGCAGGCCCTTTGTGGGGTCCTCATGGCCCAGGGGAGGAACTGAATTCTTCTCTTTATTTCGTGATGCAATATTTACAGGGTTATTTTGAGCTTACCATGTCTAACTAGTTATGCTAAGCAATTTCTACTCTCTCTGCCCTCCCCTCCGCTTTCTCCTTATACCCTTTTTTTTCCCCCTCTCCCCTCCTGCAGCTGGGACTGAACCCAGGGGACTCGGATGTGCAAGGCAGGTGCCCTTCTGCCGGGCCACTTTGCCAGCCCCAAATGATTTCTGCTAGCCAAGCTCTCAGGGTTCGGCTCGTTCCTCTCCCCTGGTAGGTGCCTGCCTCCTCCAAGCGCCATGGCAGAGCTGGGATTCTGTCCTAGATTCTGTCTCCACAGCTTTTGCTCTGTGATCTTCCTGTTTGAGGATACACTCTGTTCTGGTGGCATCCGTCTCTGAGTGGAACTCTGCTCTTTCCCTTGTCATCCTCTAGGGAGAAAACCAAAGTTGCCAAAGCTAGCCAAGGAGAGGAGGATGGACCTGACACCAAGAGAGCCAAACTTGACTCATCAGAGACGACTATGGTCAAAAAGGTATTTTGTCAAAAAGGTATTTTGTCTTAAAGACCTAGGAAGCCTGGCTCCCAAGGTCTGTGCTCGTGCCACTTTTGGCGGGCCGCAGTGCCGGCCTGCTGTTAGCGTGAGGGAATGTGACCCAGTGAAGCCAGATGGTCTTTTTTCAAGAGAATCTTCAGCGTAGACTTTTCATCTACTTTGTCCCAGACCTGTTGTACTTGACCACCTTCTGGCAGCTGTGCCGCCCTGAGGCTAAAGAGAACACGCCTGCAGCCCGGCTCGGCTCTGTGGCATGCAGCAGCTCAGCGTCAAGCTTTTTTTTTGGCCATTACCTTTATTACAGAAGAAAGATAGTTTTTTATTTGTTGGTTTTTGGGCCACACCCAGCAGTGCTCAGAGAACACTCCTGTCAGGTTCTGGGAACCATATGGGATGCTGAGAATTGAATCCTGGCCATTTGGCTAAAGGCAAGGCCAATGCTCCACCCACTGTACTATTGCTCTGGCCCCAAGAAAGTTATTATTATTTTTTTTTAAAGACCAGTAGTAGTCAGTGTAATGATTTCAGTTCTGAGCGGACAGGAGAGTTTAAATGCCAAGTGAACAAGAAGCAGCTCCGTGGCGGTAAGTGGTCTCGGGGGTGTATATTTTTAAGCATTTGAGTTGAGAGTGGAGTCATTTGAACTCAGTGGAGAGGGGGAAGCGGGAAGGGAATGAGAAGGTGACGCTCCTGTAGCCAGTGGTGGAATCGGAGAAGGGAATTATGTGATGAGGAAAACAAGATGAAGTGGCCAAAATTGTTGCTGTTGAATTGAGCAGACAGACGTGGCCAAGCCCATATTTACTCTCTGCTTTGTAGGGTTTAATGTTGGGAAAGAAAAACAGCTGGTCAGGGTGGCGAGCTAAAATGGCCCTAACAGGGGATTCTAAGAGTGCGGAAACCACAGAAGAGACTGCAGCCGCCACAGAGGGGGAGTGCTGCCTCTCCAGCAAGGCTGCTCTGGAGATTGGCTTTTTCTTGCTTTTTATGTTTGTGTTGGAAGAGTCTGACGCTGTGAGTGTGATACAGAGGAATTATTAAGCCCTAATTTTAGTGTCTATTCACAGGACCGTAATTATCCGGAGTGAACATTGGTGTTTTGGCCAAAACTTGGGTCCTTTTCTTTCTTCCTTCCTTTCTTTTTTTTGAGGCCCAGTCAGGCTTTATCTGAATAGCTTGTGAGTTTGGGGAGAGGGGGCAGAAATTGTTAACTAACACAGAAGTACAAAAGCAGCTTTGTGGGTGCTGTCAATTTATAAATCACACCCTCTTACTTGTGTGACACTTGGCCTTGGTGTGAAAAGTTTTACAGCTTAAGGGCCTCCTTGGGGGGAGGCGGGGCTTCCCATTGAAATGGAGGGAGCTTGTGAGCACAGGCCGGGGGAGTGTCCTGAGAGGCCCTTCTGAAGGTGCCCACTGGGGCGGATCCTGGAATCTCTTTCACCTCTGCCCAGAGCCAGTTTCTCAAGCTATGAGGAGAATGTGGGCAGCACTCGGGGCCCTCATGTCCCATTCCCGGGGTTCTTCAGTCCCGGGGCCCTTTGTGCGGCCTCTTCCTCCAGGGAGCCCATTTGAAGGTATCAAAATATTCCCCAGCTGACATTGTTAGTCAGCTGCTTCACTTGGACAATTCAGCTTGGATTCCAGCCTGAGCCCTTAAAGTAGTGAGGCATTCGGTGCATTCCTGCTGACAATCCCCGGGATTCCAAACCTTGTCTTTGTGCGGCTCTTCCAGGAGCGCTGGGGAAGGACGTGGCAGCACGGGCTGGGGCCCAGCTGTGCCTCCTCGCCACCAAATACCACCTCTCCTTTGACTAAGTGCCCTGTGAGTCCAAAGTTGCCTTCCGACTGAGAAATTCCAGGGTCAGAGTCTGCCCCTCTGCCTAGAGTTAACAGAGCTGTTCTTTGGGCTTCCTCTTGGGAGTGCAGGATGGGGGTGGAGAAGCAGCCACTTCCTGTTTCCTGTGAAGGCTTTCGGGTGAGGGTTTCCCCCACCCACCCCCCACCCCTTTTTCTTAGTTCAACCCAGTAGTGTCAAGCCACTTTTGCTGTAAGGTTACACGTTGTGCTTCTAAATTAGAAACGTTCAAAAACGAAGAGGAAAAACAGAGCTGTGGTTTCTCACACTATCAAGGAAGACACTAGGCCTTTCTAGCACAGGGCCTAAAGTGATAAATACAGCAGCAGGAAAAGGGCGAACCCAGAGCTAGGGCTCCGTGGTCTTTCTTTGGTGCCTAGGAGAAGTCACAGGAGAGATTTCAGTAGGATCAGAACTTGGGCATGCACCTGATGCCCTGTTGCAGGAGAAAGCAGCGGTTTGGGGTTAGGGGAGGAAGCATGCAGACTGCCAGATGAAGAACTTTGTATGTTTCCTTCCTTCCTTCCTTCCTTCCTTCCTTCCTTCCTTCCTTTTCTTGCTTTCTTGCTTTTTGTTTTTTTTTGTTTGTTTTGGGTTATACCCAGCGATGTTCAGGGGTTATTCCTGGTACTGCACTCAAGAATTACTCCTGGCGGTGCTCAGGGCCATATGGGATGCCAGGGATCGAATCTGGCTCGGCCACATGCAAGGCAAATGCCTATCTACTCTTACTGTTCCAGCCCTGGGATGACGAACTTTGAAGAATTGACTTGTTGGGACTGGAGAGCTGTGTACGACTCTGGAGTGATCCCCTGAGCATAGAACTTCATGGCTCAGTAAGCCCTGATCACCACCTGGTATGGTCAAGGAACAAGGGAAAAAAGAAAGATTGGCCTGTCACTGCCAGTTTGTTGGGTTCTGAGCAGCAGCGTTTATTATAGAGCATAGGAGCGACCGACATAGGTGTAGGGGACAGGGTAATTCGGACTTGGGCCTCCCACACTCGGAGACACGAGTCTTTTCTGTGTTCGTCAGTTGGAACATGCAGGCTGCACCCCAGTCCTGTTGTCTCTCCACAGCTGCCACTGAAGCTAAGGCCAGTTGAGTTACCTGCCCTAGCTACCTAAGGACGAGGTGGGGGTGGAGAGACAGTACATGCTTTAGTCCCTTGCTTTGCATTTACCTGATCCCAGTTCCATTCCCACTACCTAACATGGTTCCCTGAGCACTGTGGGTGTGTGTCTCTTACCCTCACCCCCCAGCAAGGAAGGGAATGGGAGAGCAGAGACAGTGGCCAAAGACATAAGTTCACCCGGTTATAAGAGAATCAATCCCCTTAGAGTCTCGAGGAGAATTAGACATTTTGTGAGGTGGTAGGTAAAATGTGTCAATGTTAATCATTCAAGAAAAACTGTTGATTGAAAGGCTACACTCAGGGCCTGGGTTATGAATTGTAGCTCTCTCCCTCCCTCTTTCTCTCTCCTTCCCTCTACCTCTCTCTTCCTCTCTCCTTCTCGCTCCCTCTCTCCCTCCCCCACAACCCGCACTGCTCAGGGTTTATTCCTGGCTCTGCTAAGAGATCACTCCTGACAGTCTCAGTGGAACCATATGGGGTGCCAGGATTGAACCCAGGTTGGCCATGTGCAAGGCAGGCGCCCTCCCCACTGTACTATGGCTGCAGCCCCACTTACCTCCTTTTTGTTTGGGGCATGGGTTAATGCCTGATGGAGATTACTGGTTGTTTTAAGTACTTGGAAACAAGCACAGAAGTATGATTTGTTGATAACGTGCTAAGCAGTGCAGATTTAATTTGCCCCCGCTTCGGTGACCGATTTGGGCTCCATTCATTTTCTTCATGAATTAGTTGTGATATTCCACTGTTAAGCATTGATTCATTCACTGTTTGATTTCCCCCTTTGAATTTGTTGATACTCTTTTCTCCCTTTAATTTGTAAGGAGTATTCTTTTACTCTTTTTACTTTTTGGTTTTGGGGTCTTACCTGGTCGTGTTCAGGGCTTTCTCCAGGCTCTAAACTCAGGAATGACTCCTGGCTTTGCTCACAGGACCATATGGGATGCTGGGGATGGAACCCAGGTTGGCCATGTACAGGGCTAGAGTCCTCCCCACTGTACTGTAGCTGTAAAGAGTATGCCTGGTGACCAGTATCATTCCCTTCTTTACCAGGCATTGAGATTATTTATTAGGGTGTCTCTTGTCTTTCTCGGGAGTTTAATTAAGTTCTACAAGGGCAGGCAGTTTTGACCACTGCTGTTTTTCTAGTTCAGTCATACTAGTAGTTCAGTCTAGTAGTTCAGTCATACTCAAGAAACTTCTGTTGATGTAGTCTGGCCACACCCAGTGATGCTCCTGCCATTTCACTCGTGGATCACTCCTGGCAGTGCTTGGGGGACCATATGGGATGCCAGGTACCGCACCCAGATTGGCTGCATGCAAGGCAAATACCCTCCCCACTGTTCTGTTGCTTCAGCCTCAGTCTCAGATTTTTTCAGTTGTAATATACAAAAATCATGCCATCTTACTGCAGGTTGTGGAGCATGATAGTAAACAGTATCCAGCTTAAAAACCAAAACATTCTTTTTTTTTTTTTTTTTTTTTTTGCTTTTTGGGTCACACGGGCGATGCTCAGGGGTTACTCCTGGCTCATGCACTCAGGAATCACTCCTGGCGGTGCTCGGGGGACCATATGGGATGCTGGGAATCGAACCTGTGTTGGCCATGTTGGCTGCGTGCAAGGCAAACGCCCTACCCGCTGTGCTATCGCTCCAGCCCCAAAAACCAAAACATTCTTAGTGTTCTCCTTTGTTTCTGCCCTGGGCTGCTGGTACTTTCATGTGGATTTAGTAAGGCTCCCCGAGGGCTTGAGTATGGCCCTACTTGGCTTTGTGTTTTATAATGTATTGGTAAATTTCAACAGCAGAATAAAACTTAAAATGATAGAGGCATAAATTATAATATACCTAACCATACATTCTATTCTCTTGACCTGACTTAAATGAGTGTGGGGGCTTGGATCTCCCAGTCCCCACCAGGAGTAATTCCTGAACACTTCTGGGTGTGGCACCAAAACCAACTCCCTCCCCCCAAACCCCCAGTAACAAA